ACCAGCTGGCCCAGCCCAAGGGAGGTAACCCACCTGCCGGGCCCCATGCACGCCAGCTACCCTCCCAGTGCCCGCCACTGCCCCGCTAGCCTCACCTTGGCCACCACCCGTTTGGTACGGTGGCAGGCAGGCCCAGGTGCTCCTAGGCAGCCATGGCAAGCGTCAGCGATGGCGCAGGCCGACCACCGGCTGGGCCACCAGCTAACCCACCCGCCAGGCCCCACACGCGCCAGCTACCCTCCCAGCGCCTGCCGCTGCCCCGCTAGCCTCACCGCCCATTCGGTACGGTGGCAGGCAGGCCCAGGTGCTCCTGGGCGGCCCTTCCACCCCTGGCCCTCTTTTACTTACATTTAGTAGTTGCTCAGCAGGGAGGGGTGGAAACTTCCAGAAAGCTTGCCTTAGCTGCAGACAACTTGCAGCAACGTTTGCCGACTGGGACTTTGGGCAGGCTCAACAGGGCAGAGACAGCCTGGACAATTCCTATTGGCTTTTGAAAGCCAATAGAATTAGACTCTATTCAAGAGAGTCTATTCTATTGGCGTTCGAAAGCCAATAGAATCTATTGGCTTACAAACGCCAATAGAATAGACTCTCTTGAATAGAGTCTATTCTATTGGCTTTCAAAAGCCAATAGAATAAGAGGGAGTAGCACAGCTCAGGAAAAAGGGGAAAAAAACAAAAAATAAATAAATGCCGGACTGCGTTTCATAAGGATTCTATGAGGAAAAGCTCCAGGACTTTGGCGACCCCTGTGAAATGGTCGTTCGACCCCAAAAGGGGTTGCGACCCACAGGTTGAGAACCACTGCTTTATGCTAAGCTCTCAAAATGTGATTTCCATCAGACACACCTGGATTACCTAGGTCCTAGGATATAGAATCTCCAGTGAAGGTGTTGAGATGGATCCAGCCAAAGTGAAAGAATGGCAGCCCCCACGGACCTGTAAGCAACTCCAGAGTTTTTGGGGATTCGCAAACTTCTACTGGCAATTCATCTCCCCCTTTGCCAAGATTGCTTTGCCAATTACTGAATTATTAAAAACGGGGAAAAATTGGGGGAAACGGTGACCCTGTCAGTCACTGACATGGTCCATAGAATGCCAAACTGCTTTTGAGAACTTAAAGAGACTGTTTGCAGCAGAACCCATTCTCTCTCTTTTTTATATAAACTTTATTGGCTTTTAAAACATAAATCACATAATAGTTGATTAACAGTGTGGTTTGCCTGGCTTACATTTACAAAGGAAAATCATCAACAATTAATATCTATAATCCATAACCCACGTATTCACACAAATGTTTCTTTTTTCTTCCCCCCCATAGATATTCTCTCTGATAGTTCCTGTCATCAATATTCTTAATTTTCACTTTAATATTTAAATATTTCCCCTTTAATCAGTATCATGCTTGATCAATGTATTTCACTGAATTGGAGTGTTTTTCCCTCTATTTTTCCCCAACCAATCATACAATTTGTTCCAGATTTCGTAGTAATCTGTTTCACTCTTATCCTTAAGTTCTAACGTCAACCTATCCTTTTGAGCACAGGATAAAATCTTATTTTTTACCTCTTCTTCTGAGGGTGTCTCACTGTCTTTCCATCTCTGTGCAAAGACTAATCTTGCTGCTGTTAGCATGTGTAATCTATCTTTAGTGATACCCAGCAAAAAGAGTTCTGGTTTTAGCTCAATGTTCTGCATTAGTATTTCTTCTAACCACTGTTTTATTAAATGCTAAAATTTTTGTGCTTTTGAACATTCCTACCACATATGGTAATAGGTCCCTAGTGATTCTTTACATTTCCAACATTTCGGTGAGGTCGTTTTGTCCATTTTGGCTAATCTCACAGGGAGAATGTGCCACCTAGAACATCTTGTATAAATTTTCTTTGTACGCAGTAGCTAGTGTGAGGTTCCTATTCCTTTCCCATAAATCCTGCCAATTATCTAAGTCAATACCATAGCCGAATTTTTTACTCCAAATTAACATTGTGTCTTTTAGTTGCTCTTCCAAAATATCCCATTTCAATAAATATTGATATATCCTTTTTATCTCTTTTTCCTCCATTCCTATTAAAATTTTAGCTAATTCTGTATGCTCTAATTTTATTCCACATTCTTTTTTATCCTTCATATATCGTGATTGAATTTGAAGGTACGCCTACCATTCAAGTTCTATCCTTTCTTCTAATAACTTTTTCCTCAATTTTAATTCTCCTCCTTCATCCAAGATATCTTTATAAGTGATCGCCTTTCCTGATTTCATAAAATTTGGATGTGGATAGGAGATATTCTAGGGATTTTCATGTAATTACGTTTTTTAATTCTGACCCATACATCTAGTAGTGCCTGTCTGATATAATGTTTCTGGAAGTACTGGTGAGCCTTCCCAAAGAATTGTATGCCACCCTGTCTGCATATCATGGCCTTCTAAGGCTACTAGTCTCCTATTTCTCAGATGTGTCCACTCTTTCGCCCAAGTAAGCATGGCTGCTTGATAATATTTTTCCCAATCTGGGAGGCCGAATCCCCCTCTTTCCTTCGAATCCTGTAGATGGCTGTAACCAAAGTAGTTTTGTAGGTTTGACCATCAACACATCCTCCATTGTGTTTGAAAAAGGAAGATAATTTTATCTTATAATAGCTAGATTTCATAGAATATCAAAATGTATGTATTAATTATTGTTTTGTTTTACAGGTAATCCTTGACATTTTTACTGACCATTCAAAGTTACAGTGGTCCAGAAAAAAGTCCTCAATAGTCTTCATACTTACAACTGTAGAAGCGTCCCCACAATTACTTGTACATGATCAAAATTAAGGTGCTTGCCCACTGGCAGCTATTAATGACAGTTGCAGAGTCCTGGGGTCATGTGATTACCATCTGTGACTTTCCCAACCCGTTTTGGACAAGCAAAATTAATGGGGAAATTCAGATACTGTACTGCATTGGTAAGACCACACTTGGAATACTGCATCCAGTTTTGGTCACCATAATACAAAAAAAATGTTGCAACTCTAGAAAGAGTGCAGAGAAGAGCAACAAGATGATTAGGGGGGCTGAAGGCTAAAACATATGATGAATGGTTGCAGGAACTGGTTCTTTTTAATCTAATGGAGAGAATGGCTAGGGTTAGATGATAGCAGTCTTCCAATATTTCAGGGGTTGGCACAGAGTAGAGGGGATCAACCCATAGCACCTGAGTGTAGGACAGATGGAAACAAATCAAGGAGAAATCTAACCTACCTTTAAGGGAAATTTCCTGATAGGGAGAACAGTTAATCAGCAGAACAGCTTGCATTCAAAATTTCTGAGTGCTCCGTTACTGGAGGTTTTTAAGAAGAGATTGGACAGACATTTGTCTGGAATAGTATAGGGGGTTGGACTAGAAGATCTCCAAAGTCCCTTCCAATTCTGTTATTCTGTTAATTTCTGTGCTAGGGTATGACTATAATTTATATATTTATAATGTATTACAATGTTAAAGAGAGTGCAGTGATGTTCTGCTCCTCCTAATTTATGGCCCTGGAAACTGTTCAGGCTTGAGCAAGAAACTGGTTAGCAATAGTCATGTTCTGCGTCGTGACAGAATACTGAAATGTTCAATGTTCAAATTTTCAATGTTCTGAAAAACTAACCATGCATCTATGGGAAAATGTTTGGAAGAAGATACACGCACAAATCTATACGTATATATATACAAAGTTGTTAGTAGCTTTTCAATCAAAAGTTATCCAAAGCATTATTTAATAAGAAACCTTTTTGTTGTTGAATTCAAACAAACTAGATTATTTATATGAACAGTAAAAGCAATACAAGTCATATATTATACCAGAACATGTATTTTAAATTATCCCCATCATCCATAGCCTTTATCTCTCAATTATCAAGCTCAGGATGTGAGTGCAGTTATGAAGTAAGTCAGCTTTTAATTTCTAAACTAAGCTGTGCATACTATGAAAATATCACATTTTACAAGGATAATAGAATTTTTTCAAATCATACACTTTTATTTCGTATTTATACGTTCTTGCCTCAAAGTATACTTGGGTCAAAGACTCATACTGTTTTATAAATACAGATCCTGAGATCTTTCACCATCTTTATTTTATAGCCTCTTTATGGCCCAACACCAAATTACTGATTGATTCTCTTAGCATTCAGCTTGTAACTTAGAGAGTTGAAAAATGAGGTCATAGTTTGATTTACTATGATTTCTTGAATACATCACATCAGAATTTACATGGCACATTAAATCATGGCTCATAAAACACAGCAGTTGGATTCAGATAATATAATAAACCATTTCAAACACGCCATATGATGGCTCAGCATTTTGTTTCATCCATTTGCATATCCTGATAAACTGATGGGGTTCATTTTCCGTCATGTGATTTGATGAGACTTGGCTTTTTGTTGTGTGAATCCAGCCAATAATAGTTTATTCAAGAAGTCACTATTAAACAAACAATAGCTAATATTTATGTGTACATTAAAGAAGGCAATATTTATATGGTTGGCTTATTTATAGTTTATTATGACATATAAAGTTTGAAAACATAGTTTGCAAACTATAATTTAGCATAATGGGTAAACTCAGCCAACTGCAGATTAGTCAGAGGAATACTCCGATTAAATCATCACCAGCAGTACAAATGTGCAAATCCAATTCATTTCCGCAAAAGTAAACGCTCCAACTTTAATCGTGCTCCTATTAGACATTCCTTATTTTGGAGTAAACCCAGTTCGCTGGCCACCGAGGTTCGGGAATGGCACTGGCTAGAATGAAGAATTCGAGGCTCTCCCGAGAGCTCATAAATAAAATGGGGCCAGGTTCTTTCCCCCTATATCCGACACGTAGCCTTTGAAACCGGCTTCTCCTTTTAGAAATTAACCGCAGGGTGCTTGAACAATTGCATGTCCAAGCGATCGGTCCAAGCGCTGCTGCTCGTTTCCTTTCTGTTGGAGGTTTTCCATCACTCCCCTGACAATGTCTTTCCCTTTAAGACAGCCTAACTCATTTGAAGGTGTAGCTCGCTCACCTGGCCCAGGTGGTTGCAAAGCTCAGTCGAAGAGGAGGAAGTAGATCGGCGCGACAGTATGTCGGCCTCTGCAATTTTCATCCTTGACTTGAAAGGCAAGGTAAGCCTTGCCACCGTTTGCTTCTTCCTCTTTAGCGCTTTTTGGCAGTTTCAGATGTTTATGTGAGGAGGAATAATAATCCCCTTGATACAGTAGTAATGAAGGTCCACAAATATTTGCCTTCCTGCTTCTGCTTGCAGATAAAGCTTTCTTTTGGTGGAAGGTCATAATGGAGGGCCTTATTTCCTTTTCCTCCGATGGGGGGGGGGAATGCAAATTAAACAAAGGGGAATAAAAGTCCCGATTTAGAGCCTCAGTGTTTTGATTGTAGCTCTTGATCTTTTTTTTTTCATTAGCACTCCCTGTCAAATCTTCCTCCTTCTCTACCCATTGTCTTTTCCCTGCATTTTTCTTTGGATTAGGAGATTGAAGAAAGGCAAGGAGTTCTGTAATTATGTTTTCTACTTCTGTTTTAGAGCTAAGACCTGGGAGTCTGGTGCTCTCTGTGGTATAGGGGTGGGGAGTCACAAAGGAATTATCCTCCAAAAGCTGAAAAATTTAGCCTTTCCTAACAAGAATCTGTGGGCACAATTGTTTCCATCCTGCTAGAGTTTGCCTTGAAAATTTGTTAAATAAATTGGGTTACTTTAAAATTGCATGGAGGATCAGGTTTGTAGCAGGAAAGCTGGATCTGTCCATCGTACAAGGAGACAAAATGGAAGCATTTCAGTACAGTAACAACATACTTGGCTAAACAGCTTGCACGACTGGTCTGTGGAGTTGCCTCCTACTGCCAGAAAAGAGTTTGAAGTAATACTGTTAATAAAGAATTATGCCACTGGCGTGAGATTTTCTGTAACAGAATGGCTGAAAACAAGAGCACAGAAACCTTTATAATCCTTATAGTATGTGGCAATTTTTGAGAGAGAAAACTAATCTTAAGAAAGTTTGTATGAAAAGTTACCATTTAAAGCTGGTAAAGACAACACATTAACAGTATTTATTTCCTTCCTTTTCCAAGTTCCAAATTGTGGCTTCAACAACATTATTAAAGTAATATGTAAGCTGAGAACTGGTTTTCTGTATGTTAAACAAGCCCTGTATTCTGTTTCACATACATGCATACACTCTCCTTGTATTATTTTATTACTCAGATAGTGGTTCTGAAATACCCCAAATCTATATATGCTATAATGTTGATTTTATTAAGCAAAGTAGTTGGAACAATATCCTGCTGCTGCCAGTACCCTCCAAATTAAATCTGAAGCACTGCATTCTGTTTACCTTTTTGTTTTTACAAGTTCACGGTGCAGTTTTTATAATTTTTGTAAGTAATACTCTGACTCTTTTTTTTTTTAATTGAAAATTTTATAACATTTTACAATATAAGTCCCTCCCTCAAACCCACCCTTCCACCCCCCTCCCTCCCCCCCCACTTCCCAGAGCCAATCACAGGAATAATAATAAAATAATCATACTCTAAATAATTTTAAACAACTATAAAAATAATAAATCTATAACCTCCTTTAACTCTATCTGAAAACTGTTAAAATAACAAATCTGTAACCTCCTTTAACTCTCTTTTCAACAGATCTATAATTAATAAACACGATAATAGTATCATATTAATAGTTAAAATTAAAAATAAGTACTCTAAAATTCAATTAAAATTCAATTAAACGCAATAATATTAATATCATATTAAGAAATAAAAAATAAAACTAAATCATTTAAGCAACAATAACATTCTGGACTTCACTAAAAAAAACCCAAAAAAACCCCACTCTTTTAGACCCATATTCAATTAATAAACACACTAATAATAACATCATACTAACAATTAAAAATAATAATAAGTAAACTGTTATAACATTTAAACAACAATAATGGTCTAAAATTCATAATCTACTCTATTATTAATAAATTGCTCCCTAAACAAAATCAATCAAAGAAGAGAAAGAAAAAACAAACAAAAAAAAAACCATCCTTCCATAACCTTATTCATTCTTCTTGCAGTTAGATTAAAAAGCCAAAAAAAAAATAAAAAAATTCTTATTTCCAAAATTAATATCTCAATTCATACATCCAGATTTTTAAGTACTCTCTTTATCATTTAAACAACAATAACATTCTGGACTTCACTAAAAAAAACCCCACTCTTTTAGACCCATATCCAGTTATTAAGCACACTAATAACAAAATCATTAACAATTAAAAATAATAAGTAAACTGTTATAAACAACAATAATAGTCTAAAATTCATAATCTACTCTATTATCAACATAATAAATTGCTCCCTAAACAAAATTAATCAAAGAAGAGAAAAGAAAAAAAAAACATCCTTTCACAGCCTTATTCATTCTTCTTGCAGTTAGATTAAAAAAAAAA